CATCTGTCTTGGGTGGGGAGGCCTAGCAGTGGCACAGTGGGGGTATCAAAGCTCATCAGGGTAAGGAGGACATTTAGTCATGTAGGGGAGTGGCCTGGTGTGCAGACTCAGAGCCCAAGTGAGGTGATAGGTGCATCCACATGGAATGGGGCACTGGAGTCTGGTGGGAAAGTCAGAGCAGAGTGAGGAAGGCATCTCTATGTAAGATCAGCATGGCATGATCTGTCAGAGGCCAAGTGAAGGGGAGCCTAGCAAAGGGTGTTGAAACCTAAGAACCGAAAGTGGGGTACCAGAGCTCGAGCAGAGAGATCATAGTGCACATACAGCAACAAAGATGGATGATTGGTTACATACAAGGGATGGTGAATTAAGTAAATATACTAAGGATGATGGAAGGCAGGTTGCTCACTGCTGGAGAAGAGAGTTACAAATACGGTTACAAATAAGGGGGAGAATTGAAAACCCTGTGGTGATGAGTTGAAATTGGGAACATCAGTCCTAACTCATGTTTTTCAGTATATAGATAGATAAATGTAGATGTAAATGTGTGGCTATGTGTATATATTCATTTTTTACAAATATTTTATATTTATTTATTAAATAATATGTACACATTCCCTGGCTCTGTCCACTGAGAGACTGAGTGACCTGGGAGCAGCAATATCCTAATAGCATTGAGCATATCTAGCATGCACATCTACGACTAGGGGTGGGTTAGTTCCCTAAAAGGGAAAGATGGGTTCTATTTCCACAAGAAGGGATACTGGCAGACAGAAACAAAGGTGTCCACTGTCGGAAGCAATATATGTACATTGATTCTTTTCATCTTATATAGGGAATGTCAAAAGGTACTATTTGATTTCCTAAGTTTATGCATTTAGAATTATAGATGTAAGCATATTATTTAAAAATAGCAACAACTAATTTAAAAAAAAAAAAAAAAAGCCCTGTTGCCATCAAGTCAATTCCGACTCATAGTGACCCTCTAGGACAGAGTAGAGCTGCCCCATAGGATTTCCAGTGAGCAGCTGGTGAATTCGAACTGCTAATCGTTTGATTAACAGCTGAGCTCTTAACCACTGCACTGCCAGTAGTAGCCCTAAATTTCGACCATGTACCTTTCAAATGGAGATGAAAGAAAAAAAAGTTAATGTATTTATGTCTTTCTAAAATCTATCCACACTAAACACCTGTTATTTCCTAAAGCTGATCCAGTCTCCTTTCTTACACTTTTACAAATCTTCCCACTGATCCTAGTGGGCACCCAGAACTTTACTGTGATTGATATGTTAGGGCCCCTTAGAGAGGTACGTTTACATTTCACATTTACCAGTGACAGATCTGAGCTTAGCGCTATTGTTGGAATTTGTTCAAGTATTAAAAAGAAAGTAGCTGATCTTATAGCATTCTCATAGCAACCATTGTGAGGATGATGCAGGACCAGGCAGTGTTTCGTTCTGTTGTACATGGGGTTGCCATGAGTCACAACTGACTCAACAGCACCTATAAACAACACATTTTCCACAAAGCCGTTACCTGACAGACTTCTCATATTCTAGGATAGGAGTTACAAAGCCTCCACTTTTTCTTTTTTTTGCTGGAAAAATTATCTGCTGTAAGTAACCCAAATGACAATTTCTATATTAAACATTGCAGTCTGTAAGCAGCTCCTGTTCTTGCATTGTAGGGAATAGAGCTTTCAGGACTTGTCTTCTGCCGACATTCTATAATTATTTATAGTATGAATCAAAATCTGATGCTTTTTTCTTGAGAAGGGCTATATTCTTTGTGGTACTTCTCTGGAGGCATGGAATGGGACAGAGGTTTAGCTCATGTTACCAAAGCATCTCCTTGATTTGGCCTTCTTCCTTGAAGGGTAGGTTCATATGAATCCCAGATTTGATTTACCTCAGGGTGAAATACAAGCCTCTTGTATTCTGTGAATTAAAACGGTCTTGTGCCTCCCTAAGTACCCCTGGTTTCAGTGGAATGTCAGCATTCTTGGTAAGAATACTACTAGATTCATATGCATCCATTGCTATGGCTAAGATATTTAGTTACATAGTGTGCAGGCTTTATTCAGCCAAAAGCTGAAGTGGCTACTTATCTATCACAGAATGAAGTTCGCTGCCAATATTCTTCCACATGATAAGGTCAGTAACTTTAATCGGATGGGACTCCAGCCCATATTCGATTAGACGGGAAAAGAAGTATGTTGCTATTATTCTATTTTTGTATTTTTTTAATCTTCCTTTTTTCCTTCTGTTAGATTGAGACCTTCTGTCAATGAATAGTAATAGAAGTTGACCATTTATTGAATGTCTGCTTTAATGCATCGTATTAGGTACATTACATTAATTATGTCTACTTTTCACAAGCTCTGAAAGGGGAAAAAAAATTATCCACACTCTAATGATGAAGAAACTGAGATTTAGGGAAGTTAAAAAACCTTCCCGGTATTTACACATATGGTGTGTGCTGGTGCCAGGATTCAAGCATAGGTACTTCTGATTTTAGGGCTTGTATTTATTCATTGACTTATCAAAGTAAACGTCATATGGGTAGCTTAGGTTTAAACTGGAGTTTACTAGTGTCTTTTGAGCTACATTGCTGTTGTAGTCTTTGAGAAATTCTTTAATTTTACATAAATAAAATTGTCAGTGAAGTTGTATTCTAGAAAAGTGTTCATTTGTGAATAAAATTTCTTTATTTGACTTGATTTATATGATACAGAGACAAAAGCATGAAATTTGAAGATCAAAGGCCTAGGTTTTGAGTTCCAGCCAAACCAAACCCACTGCTGTTGAGTTGATTCTGACTCACAGTAACACTACAGGACAGAGTAGAACTGCCCCATAGGGTTTCTAAGGAGCACTTGGTGTATTCAAACTGCCGACCTTTTGGTTAGCGGCTGTAGCTCTTAATCACTGTAACACCAGGGTGTGAGTACCAGTGATACCTTTTACCAACTGTGTGACCTTGGGAAAGTCACCCAATTTCCCTGATCCTTAGTTTTTTCATCTTTCAAATGGGGATAGTACTAATTGACAATGTTGAGAGGATTAAATAAGATAACATTGTACTTTGTACTCTATAAAGTTATAGATAATAAATTAACTTAAAAAAGAAATTTCTTTAGAAGACTATTCATTTATTAAATATATGATGAGTGCTCTTTTGTATAACTGCATGCTGGGTGCTTGAAATAAGGTAGTGAACAAGGTAGACAAGGACACCCTCTCATGAAATTTATACTTTGCTGCTGCGTTGTCCAATATGGTAATCAACAGCCGTATGTGGCTGTTTAAATTACCAAAATTAAATACAATTTAAAATTCAGTTCCTCAGTCACACTAAATACATTTCAAGTGCCCAATAGCCACATGTGGCTAGCAGCTACCATGTTGAACAGTGAAGATATACAGCATTTCCATCATTGCAGAAATTTCTCTTGTAAAGCTCTGTGTGGGAGAAGCAGACAATTAATTAGATAAGTATTGAGTTCACTTATCATGAGTGCTTGGAAGGAATAAGCAAATCAGAAAAATAATGTTTAAGAGTTGAGGGATAAGTAGGCATTTTCTAGGTAATGTGGGGGTAGAGAAAGCATTTCAGAAGGAAGGAGTTGCATATGCAAAGACACTGAAGCATGAAGAAGAGAGAGATTGAGGTCCAGAAAGGGGATGAAATGCAGAGCCTGTGTGGAGGGATTAGCTCTACATAGGAGGAATGAGCCTTTCTTCATTGTAATAGGACAAACAGAGGGGAGGGGACAGGTCAACATGCAGATAGACTTGTAGATTTTGTGGCAGAAAGGGAGGGTTTTCTTGTTCCAATGACTTCCATTTTTCTCTGTGAAATGCAAGATCTTCTGAAAGCAAGAGAGCAAAAGGAAAGAGTGGAGTTTTGAAGAGTGGGGAAGGTATGAAACATGTCTTTGAGGAGAGTGCACAGACTAGAAAGATTAGTAAAATTGTGAATATGTAGTCATACCAATCTTTTGCATGGTATAATTTTTTTTCTAGGTGAGACATGGAAAAGGCTAACGGCTGTTCATTAATCCAGCTAAATAAATCAATGCATGTAAGGCACTGATAATGGTGCCTGGCCCATAGTAAGGACTAAACAAACATGAGTGATTATTAACCACTGCTAGGGTTTGGCTAGTAAGAGTAAGCAAATAGAACAACAGAGAAGGAATTAGGACATTTGCAAGAATGGAAGTAGAACAATAGGGGGATGATATATAGGGAAAAGGTGGAGAGATCCATTGAGTGAGGAGCCTGGTGAGTATCTGTTGAGTATGTGTCAGTGGAATACTCAGGCAAGTATGTAGAAAGGATAAGAGAATTGGTCAGAGAGTGAGGTGTATGAAACAGAAGTAGGAGTTACAAAGAAGTATTAGACACAGTTCTCTCACTAAAGAATCTTACAATCTAGGTAGTTTGCGGTGTTTCCCTGTGAAAAACAAATTTGTTATAATTGCTTAATTGTCTAAATAAATGACATCAGCAGTGACAGGTAATCCCCAAACTGCCTATAAATTGGAACATGGGGAATTTGACATTCTGAGAGTTTACAATGCTTATAATATAATATACAAACCTTTCTTGAAGATTTAAGTCAAAATGTGGAAACCTGTTCAGGTTATTATACTCTGTTTCTCTGCCATCAGCCTGTCACTTCTGCACATTTTCCATCTCCAGTTCTGTTCTGGTTTAAGTGTCACACGGAAATTGATGGCAGCAAGTGCTCCAGCTGATCCTTTGGTTGGGTAATTCTGCCCTGTGGTTCTGTTTTGTGCCATGAGGTATGAATTGGTGGTTGTGAATATAAATACACCAACCTTAAGAGTTGTCTGGTTTTTCCTCCTTTCAGGTGTTCTGTGAAGCAGTTTCAGATTCAACACTGAGAGTAATTTGTGTTTTGAAGTGTTTAGGAAAATGAAGTATTGTAGTCTATTCATTAATATCGTTCTTTCCTTTCGCTTTATATTGAAGGCTTCAGCGATTAGCCAAAGATCTTCTGAAACAGCTACAAGTACAAGACAGTGGCTCATGGGCAAACAATAAGGTTTCTGCTTTGGATCGGACCCTAGGCGAGATCGCTAGAATATTGGAAAAGGAGGTATGTGACTAATCTCTGGACTTTGAACCTTACATCTTTGTGGTCCTTTCTCACTGTGACAGGACATAGGGTTGTATTGCATTCTCTCCATATACATGTTTCTTCTCTGTTTCCAAAAGCCAGTCAACAGTTGATGGATGTTTTTTACTTTCGTTTTCAATGAAATTGAGGTTGTTTTCAGTTTTAACTGAAGTACTTGGTAGAAAAAAATATGTTCTTTAAGTCATGGTTTTCTCAGTTCCCCACACAAACAAAATGAAATTATATAATCAAGAATAATAGTAATAAAAGTATATTGTATAATTTTATGACAGAAAACATAGAACCTTGAATTATTTCAAGCTCATAAACACAACTAGGAGGGGCCCACAAAACACCAGTTTCTTCCCTGTTTCCAAACAGAAGATTTGACAGTTTTGTTTAATGACCTAGAGACATTAAATGTCTCAATGACAGTTTAAAACTCTTTAATGATTTCACAAGTATTTATTATTCACTATAGAAAAATTTTAAACTTAAAGAGAGGAAACTTTCTGTAACATCTACTGGTAACATCATTGTTTTTTCTTCTGATGGCTTTTATTGTATATTTTTTGTATTATCTGGCTGATTTTATCATAAATATTTTTTATGTTTTTAAAAATTCTTTGTAAATGAATTAACATACCACAATATGTTTATACCATAGTGGTACAGTGCCATACCATATTTTTTTACATGTTACTGTAAAAAAATTAGCATAATGGGCTTCTGAAAATACCTAGTCGGGGGAGGGTGCAGCTGGCAAACAAACATAGAAGGTGCATGTTATTTGAGTAAAATACAATATTCAAAAGGATATGGTGATAAAAAAAACGCATAAGAACAGTAAACGCACTGAACAGCGAACTCATAGTGAGCAGCTATGAACTCACTACCCAACTTAAGAACTAGACCATTACCAGTACATTTAATAGCTCCCACTGTGATCCTTCCTTACCCCATCCCCCATCTCTGCCCCCTCAGAGGTCAGTACTGTACAGAATTAAAAGTGTATAATTTTCTTGTTTTTTAAAAATAATTTTATTGTTTTATCACAGAAATACATTGCTAAATAATGTATTATTTAGTTTTGGTTGTTTTTGACCTTTTAAAATATCATATAGAATTCTGAGTTTTTTTTTTTTTTAGTCAAAATTATGATTGTAAGTTTTATTTAAGTTTATAAATGCAGCTGGGTTTTTAAAATTCTTTTTATCTGTTGTACAGTAAATATTTCATGTGTTAATACTATACTATTTTTATCCATTCTCTTGACAAGGACATTTGTTTCCCGGATTGTTGTGTGTGTGTATGTCTATGCACATGTATACAAGTGTGTGAGAGATTACAAACAGTACTGTTCAAACATTCTTGTATCAGAGCAAATGAACAATAATTTCTCTGAAGGTGGGGTGTCTGAGACTTTAGCCTGCATCAGAATCACCTAGAGAACTTGTTAAAACAGATTGCTGGGCCTCACCTTGGCTTTCTGATTTAGTGGGTTCTGGAGTGGGTCCCAAGCATTTGTATTTCTAACAAGTTCCCCAGTGAAACTGATGCTGCTGATTCAGGAACCACACTTTGAGAACAGTGGCTCTAGTCTGGAGCAGATGCCTCAGAGGTGAAACTGTTGGGTTCTCAGGCATATGAATGACCAACTTTACAAGATAGTGCTCACCTACATTTTGACATCAGACATCAGACAATACAATTCTCAGTAGGAACTGAGAGCAACATATTCAGTTTGCATTGCAGCAGGGCCATATAGAGTCACTTCTTCTCTATAATATGTCCCTTTTGGAGTGTCAAGGAGTTTAGAAACTGGTAATTGTCAGACATGTGCTAGGTGGAATGTTTAGAGATTTGATATGCCTTGAGAAAAATCTCTAATCATTTTATAATTAGCACATACTGATTATTTTTGTCTTTATAGAGGATACTTATATTTTAAATTAAGAGGCATTTGCTTGAAGATACCACTATATCCACGTTGAAAGATTTTAATCTCATTGAATGTTATTTTAGATGGAATTAATCACAATCTAAAAGTAAAATGGTCTGTATAAGAAAGGTATTCAGTATGAGAATCTAAGTAAAGTTATTTCATTCACAGAGGGGCAATTTACTGGAATACCACTGATTCCTTATAATTTGGGGGAGAAAAATGTAGTCTGGCTCCCAGTCTAAATGGCCTGTGTCAGGAACCTTACTGTAAAGCTGTCCTCAGAGTATATACTGCAAGACCACCTAAGAGTCTAAACTTACCTACAATAAGATCCTTTTGCGACTTTTATAACTAAAATCTTTTTTACCTAGCCAAGACAGACTTACTTTATGTAGAATTCTGTTCTGTAGAGTTTTACTGACATTTCAGTGTAATTCAGCTGATGATATTTATGATTTCAGACTAGGAATTGTAAATAACCATTTGTTTTTGTTTGGAAAACTGCCTGGAGTAACAAAATCATTAGAGCCAAAGCCAAGTACCCAGTGAAGGATTTGAAAACAGCTTAGAAGTGACAAGGGTGGGACTGGTGGAACTGAGGAAGCTGTCACTGAGGAATGGTGAGAGGTGAACTTTGAGGTCTTTGCCTGCTTAATTTAGACCTCAGCACACTGATACTTTCTATTACTGCTTTGACACAGTTTTTTTCTTAGTTTTTCTGAAGTTCTAAAAACTACTTTAGAGCTAAAGGGTTAAACTTCTGATAATACAAAAACACTCTTGTAATGAAACGGATCAGAAAACTGAGAAGGATCTGGCTTCAGTGGTACTTAACTGTGTGGTCATTGTGTGGCCTGTGATGAGTTCTTCAACCTCTGTGTGTCTCAGGTCCCTTCTGCCTTTTTCATTTCTCTGCTTCTGTTCAGAAATTAAAGGCTTGTAAGCTTTGTTTGCAAGTGTTATGCTTTTTAAAAATGTCAGCCACGTCTGTGTACAGAAATATGGTGATGTATGGTATTTGCACCAACTTTCCCAGCAAAAACATCTAAAAATGCTGGATAAAGAAAAATTAAATTTTCTTAAAAGCATCAAAGAGCTCAGAAGAAATTAAAGAATTACCAGACCAAAGCAAAAGCAAGAATTCAGAAAGTGCGCTTATAATGAAGCGTTTGCTCTGCTGACAAATGTGAGTTATGGTTTTGCAAGCTTCATGGAGTGAGGGGACAAAAAGTAAAAGCCTATGGACTACCCAGGATCGGAAGCCTAATAGGGTATTTTCCCTCTGCAAATCTAAGACCATAACAGCCTACTCTTTGACGTAATCATGAATCCTCTCACCTCACCGTTAGGGACTGCAAAGAAGTCTTGGCACAGTGTAGAAATTATATCTGTAATCCAGTCCTGGAGTAGATTTGCAGCCCAAATTCACATCACCTGTATTGTTTCGAATGGTGAATTGAGTCTAACATGGTCCCATATTGATTAGTGGTGTCCCTAGGCACCTGACAGAAGAAAATATAAATCTTCATTGGAGGAAGACACTTTTATCCTAGGCCTCAGATAATTTCTGTTAAATAATGTTACAGGGACAAGTAGCCATAGTCAAAATAATTAAGCACAAAAGTTAATAAATCATGATGAGTGAGAACAAGCAGAAACTAGAACTTTAAGGCTTCGTGATTACCAGTCACAGATTTTTAAACTATGTTTGCTGTCTTTTAAGAAAATAAAAAGCAAGCTTGAAATGGGCCTAGCGAAATAAGTAATTTAGAACAGTTCTCCCAGTCATGACAACGAATAGAGCTGGACAAAATATGAACTGTGTAACTGAATTGTTAGCAAGGTAGTGAAGAATACTGGGCCAAGATCCTGGGAGTGTGGTATTTCAGGCTGCTTTTGCTCTGGGTACAATTGGTGATATGAAAGAAGTGGATGAGAGGCTCAGTAGTACTTTTGACATCATTGCAGAGCTGGTGGGAAAAATGTTGACTCTGGGATTTACAACGATGGGGCTGTGGCGATAACCCCATGTTTTGGATTGGGATCTTAAAGGACTACACTACGAGAGTGAGTAGACAGGAAGTACACCAGTCATTGCACAGACTGCAGCCCGGCTTCAAATCACCTGGGTGGCTAGGAAATCACATCCACAGAGGAAAAAAAAAAAAAGATCTTGAATTGCTAGTACCCCAGATGCCTAATAGAAGGAAATGAAAAATCTACTCTGGAGGAAGGCATCAACCTAAGTCTCACATTATTTTGACATAATAATTTTCAAATGCATTGTCTGGCACAGGAAAGTAATTAGTTAGCAAGACAATATGAATAAGCATTAACAGAAACAATCAGTGGTAGAAACAAGACCTACGGGGGCTTCAGAACTATGTTTACTATGTTCAAGGATATAAGTGTAAATTTTTTTTTTACAAAAAAGGTATAGCAAATTTGAAAGAAAATAGAAATTCTAGAACTGAAAAATTTAGTAATCAAAATTAAGAAAATAGATAATATTAGAATAAACCAGCTGAAGATAGAATCAGTGTACTGGGAGATAGGACATAAGAAAGAATATACCCTGAAGCATGGAGAGAAAAAGATATGGCAAATAAAAAATATAGTAAGAAGCATATAACATATAGTGGAAATGTCTAATTTATGTATAATTAGAGCCCCAGAAGGAGGAGAGAATAGGGAAGAAGCAATATTTGAAGTGATCGTCATTGAGAACTTTCTAAAACTTATACATCAATTCACAGATTCAAAAAGCCCAGTGAAGCCTGAGCAGGGTAAACAAAAAGGAAATACACACCTATAGACACCATAGTGAAACTGGAGAAAATCAAATTATAAACCAATGTAACTAATGAACTTGCATTCACAATTCCTAAACAAAATTTTAACAAACTGTATCCTGTACTATATAAGAAGAATACTGTATCACAAAAAAGTTGGATTTGTTCAGGATACTCAAATTTAATTTAACATTTGAAAATCAATCATAGTTTATCATGTTAGCAGAAGAAAAAAGAAAAAGCATATGATATCTCTTAAGTGTAGCAAAAGCATTTGTTACATTCATCATGAATTCATGATAAAGATTCACAGCAAACCAAAAATAGAATGGACTTTTTTTTTTTTAGTTGTTGTCGTTTAAGTGAAAGTTTACAATTCAAGTTAGTCTCTCATACAAAAATTTATACATAGGTTGTTATGTGACCCTAATTGCTCTCCCTGTACTGTGACAGCACACTTCTCCTTTCCACCCCTGATTTCCCCGTGTCCATTCAACCAGCTCCTGACCCTCTCTGCCTTCTCATCGCACCTCCAGACAGAAGCTGCCCATTTAGTCTCATGTGTCTACTTGAGCTAAGAAGCACGCTCTTCATAAGTATCATTTTATATCCCATAGTCCAGTCTAATCTTTGGCTGAAAAGTTGGACTCAGGAATGGTTTTAGTTGTGGGTTGACCGAGTCTGGGCGCCGTGCTTTCTGGGGTTCCTCCAGTCTCTGTCAGACCATTAAGTCTGGTGTTTTTACTAGAATTTGAGTTCTGCACCCCACCTTTCTCCTGCTCCATCAGGGACTCTCTTTGTGTTCCCTGTCAGGGTGGTCATTGGTGGTGGCCAGGCACCATCTAGTTCTTCTGGTCTCAGGATGATGGCCCTTTCTGTCTCTTGGGCTAATACTTTCCTTGTGTCTTTGGTGTTCTTCTAGAATGGAATTTTCTTAAGCTAACAAATGTTATCTACAAAAAGAACTTAGAGCAAGCATCATAATTAGTTGTGAAATGTTGAAAAGTTTCCCTTTGAAATTGGAAACAACAAAAAGAATACCTGCCGTCAACACTTCTGCTTAAAATTGAGATTCTGGCTGGTGTGGTAAGAGAAACAAAAGTTATAAAATTTTAAAAGGAATAAGTGAAATAAACCAAAAAAAACCTGCTGTTGAGTTGATTCCGGCTCAGAGCGACCCTATATGACAGAGTAGAACTGCTGCATAGGGGTTTCCAAGGAGCAGCTGGTGGATTCGAACTGCTGACCATCCGGTTGGCAGACAAACGCTTAACCACTGAGCCACCAGGGCTCCTAGTGAAGTAGTCGTTATAATTAAATGATCTAAGTTGTATATGTTGCTGTTACTGTTAGCTGCTGTTGAGTCAGTTCCGACTCATGTCAGCCCCATGTATTACACTGAGTAGAACTGCTCCATTGTGTTTTCTTGGCTGTAATCTTAATGGAAGCA